TATACACACACACACACACACACACACACATATATATATATATATATATACTACAGAGACCAGGTGTTAGGTGTGTATCAGTTATGATATCACTATATTATAGCCAGTGTGTAAATAGAACTTTTAGATGGAGTGCAGTTGCCAAGGAGGCAATCTTGATTAATTTCTTTTATTCAAATACCCTCCCAGCTGTCCTTCTTTCAACATTAGAGCTGACAGAGCATTTATATGCACACTAATGTACACAACTTCACGCTACAGTAGTGTTCTGATGGCATGCCACTCTTAAAACTCAATACAAACTCAAAACTCTAGACAGACGGGTCTTACATTGATGACAGCCATGATCCAGAAGGCGTAGGAAACGTTGGTCACCACCTCTCCGTCGGTGTGGAGGTGGACACTGGACACGTTGTGCACATGTCTGCCAGCGAGCTTGTTCCTCAGATGTCTTAATGATGTTGCATTGGTGCTGCTGTTCCCAATCACACAGCTGGTCTCAGACAGGAAGGGGTCAGCGATGAGGGGACTCACTAAAGCGCCGAGACCCACAAAGAAGTGAAGGGCCTAGAAGAGATCAGAGACAACCCAGACGAGAAGGAGAATCAGCAATGACAAGATTCTTACAAAGCAACAGTTTTTAGAGCAACTTTATAAATCACAGTTCTGATTGGATGTTTGTTTATAACTGAAACAATGGTCGCTTTGTGTCAGACCCACATCTTCAGGAAGAAATCACTGGTGCATATTAATATGCCACGTTTACAATGGCAAGATGTTGCTTCCAAATGAATTATATTACTAACAATTGTCAAATAATTTTTTTTTTCCAGTTTTCATTTTAATTTTAATATTTTTTTAGTACTTTATGGCCCGGTTTCACAGACAGGGCTTAGATTAAGCCAGGGTTAGGCCATAGTTCAATTAGTACATTTAAGTAATTTTTCATAAACATCCCTTAGAAAACACATTACTGGTGTGCATCTTGAGACAAAACAAAGGCACTGATATATTTTAAGATCAGTCAGTGCAAGTTTCTTTCAGTTGACACAGCTCAGACTTACATTTTAGTCTGGGACTAGGCTTAAGCCTTGTCTGTGAAACCGGGGGTATGTGTTTTTGTTATTTTTATTATTATATATTTTTCTATTTTACAGTTTAGGTTGAATTTATTTTTTCGTTCCGTTTTAGTTTTTACTTATTTCTAGTTAAAACTTAAACTTATTAAGTTAACAATACTAAAATACTCTTAAAACAACAATAACTTGTTTTAGTTAACAGTAATAGCCCTGGAGTTATCATATTGATCTTTTTTAAACAGAATAAACCACTCAAGACATGCACTGTAGTGATTTTTACCTCATGCCATATTGTTTTAATATGATTTTAAACAGAATCCACGTGTGAAAGGAGATCGATTATGTTTGATTAAATCTGTAACTCAAGCAAGTATTGTGCAAGTTTTTCTAATCATTGCTTTCTATGATATTATTGTAATGTAACAGCAGTAATATTATGTTTCACAACATTGTAATCAAACTATTTAACTGACGGAGCAAATATAAGCTGTCTATGAAATATAAATAACATAAATATGAACTTCCTCCTTAAGAAACTGGTAGAGCAAGATCACACTCAATTATGCTGTTGCTCTGAATAATACTGCAAGACTGGTGTGGTTTGCTTAAATATTTCTTACTGTTAAACATTTTCAACCATTTTGTATACTAAGGGTGTATCTGCTTTTTACTTGGAACAGTTTTTAAAATGGTAGAGAAATCTATAGGATGACACTGAAACTGGATCTGGCCCAAAATACAGCTTTTTTTTTGAAGATTTGCAGTTTAAGTATTAAGACATTTTGCATTCTGTACGTGTGAGGGATGAATGCTGATGAGAAAAACACATCAGCTCAAATGAACCTACATTTAACCCACCATATCAATCATCTCCTTAAATATAATGTAAATTGCAAAATTTAACACCCACAATCCTTCACTACAAAGTTTAATTTCTGAGAAGACCCCTTGGGTGAGTTTCTCTCCTCCCCGAAATATGACTAAACACTGGCAATGATGAGTTCAAGTGTAAAATCTGTTTAAAGTCATCATGAATTGTCATATAATGAGATTTACTTAATGACTTAATGAGCATTTCTGAGTGAAAAACTAGCCTATTCAATGAGGAAAAACCAGTGTAGCATAGCATGGTACATGTTAATATAAAAATACATATAAAAACTATATAAAATTAACTTTAAGTTATGACATTTAAAATATTACAGAAGATTTCTATTTCAAATAAATGCTGCTTTTTACTTTCTACTCGTCAACGAATCCTAAAAGATGACTGGAGTAATGATGCTGAAAATCCGGCTTTTTAAAATTACATTTTTAAATATATTGAAATAGTAAACAGTTCTTTTACATGGTAATAATATTTCACACTATTACAATTTGTTTTGTGTTTTTGATCAAATAAATGCAGCCTGGGTGAGCATCAAAGACCTCCATCCCCTAGCTTTTGAACGGTAGCGTATATATAGTTCATAAGAACTCCTTTTGTGTTCTAGAGAAAAGTCAAACGGGTTTTGAGGGTGGGTAGATGACAGCAGAACGTTTTGTTTAAAGAAAATGATTTGTATACATTGTGTGTAAAGGCTTCATACATGTGAATGGCATATTTCAGCCACAGACTTTCAGACACTGTAATCATGCAAGGTAAAAGATACCATTTTTTTACATTTTTTGGAAGTTACTGAGTAGATACTGACCTGCAGGAAAACTGTGGAGTCTTTCTGGTAGATCTTGACCAGTTGCAGGTTAGAGATGGTGTCAATGATGCCCATGGCAAGACCAGATACCGCCAAGGCAAAGGCCAACAGGAGCAACTTATGGCATAGTGGGATGACGGCAAAAAACACAGAGATGGTGAGGCTGGACACAGCCAGCGCTGACAAAGAATGCACAAGCCTAAGAGAAACAAATGAGTGCGTCAAACAAAAAAAAACATTAATAGTACTAGTAATCAGGTTTGTGACTGGTTAGTTCAGAATACAGCTACGAGCCTTCAAAATGGTTGCTAAAATAAAGTGCATTCTCTAGGGGTAAAACCTTTTATAGTAGAAAAAAGTGACTGAGCATATTTAGTAGTATGTTATACATAAATACAAATTTTAAACAGATCTTACTTGAAACAGCCTCAGGTGAGTCTTTTGAAATAAAGTTGTTCTGTGTGGCGCCTCTGTGATGCTGCCTAAGGCGGGATTTTATTTCCAGACATCTCTGACTTTATTTTCACCTTGGCCCTTTTAATTTCTGTTTACATGCCTTATCAAATGCTGTTTTTACTGATAACAGGTGATACCAGTGGATATGTGACGCTTGCTTTATACCAGTTTTCTACTAGTCATGTGCTATCGGAAATGTCCCACTTAAGTTTGTCGTGTTGAAATGCGTTATTGTCAGAAAGAATAGCAATCAAGGAGGATACCAGGTTCATTCTTGTCTATTTCTTGAGGAAGTCTTATTATAAAGCTGAAATGTAATGAAGACATTCAACTAATATCCAATGGATTTTGCATAAAATGTAGCATCTCATTTGTTGACAACCATATAAACATTACTCGCACTATTGCATTGTACACCATGCTCTCATCATCTTGCTAACAATTCTGACGCTTCAGTCACATAAACGCTGTTTTCATGAAGTAAAATACATAGAAAATGCATCAAATGGATATACATGACTGTAATAGCAAGAGAAAGCAGGGTGGATGTTGTGGGAAAAAAAACTAAAAGTTTCCCTGTCATAAATATGACGTAAGAAGCCATTCAGGTCCGGTTCCCGTCTAGGAAACTCGTATTTATGATCATTCCGATAGCACGTGAAGGCAGCATTAAGTTGCATGCCACAAACTGTAAAATCAATAGAGCAGAACATAACACAGAATGTTATGTGGTTAAATATAGTCAGGACTGTATAACAGAGATAAAGATCTTCTACAAGAGAACCATACCCAAATCCACAGAGATCAACAAAGTAATGTGATTATCTGTAATGGGGAAAACAAAAAGAAAGGGACTGTAACACTGAGAGTTTCCAAATAAAAGCAATTAAAAGTGACTTGAGGGTAAAACACGACTAAAGCACAAGAAAGCCGCGCTGGATATAGTATCCGCATAGTTTTACTTGTTTTTCAGTCAATAATTCCATGGTAGAGTCTTAGAACTGTGGGGTGACCTACAAAACAATTAATACAAACAGTAATTATCAGCAGTTATTTGCTTATAGTCATAAAAATCACTCCGCTCTTCCTTGAGTGTTGCTTTAAAGGAGCAGATGTTGTTCCTAACCTTTTTGAACCCACTTACAAAAATGCACTTCACAAAAGTAAATTTTTTTTATCATATCTTTATCTGTCAGGCAAAACAACAGTAGGGCAGTGTATGTTTTTATGGCTTGCATCCCAGATAACTGAGACAGCACGACTTTAATGAGCACATGACCACTACTGGGATTTCCAGAGAGAGGCCACGGATGGGTTAGAAACCGATCAGTCCTAAAGAAATCAAATAATCGCTTACGATGATTATAGAGGCTGCCAAAAACAGTTTACTATCATGCAGGATGCATTTAAAATGCTTTATCTCATGAGGAGGAAGTGTAAGATACATGGCTGGGAGAGGGAAAAAAAACAACAACAAAACTTCACACGAGACTAACTTAAGGCTGGAATACACTACGTGATTTTCCCCCAAGTTACAGTCTGGAGAAGTCTGGGAGTGTGTGATCCTCAGTCGTTTAGTGTATGATGGCCAGTTATCTTTTGTGACTGTTTACAAAGTCGGTAAGTGTATGATGCCCAGTGTTTTCAGATCTGTTCAGTGTAGTGTATTCCAGCCTTTACTGTTTCTAATAACTCTTAAGCACCACTGTATCCGAAAAATTTGATTTAAATAAGTCTATAGAGAAAGTAGAACATAAATTGTTACTTTTGAAACAAACGAACAAAGGCTACAAAAGTAAACAGTTAACCATCTTTTCTGTTATAGATTATAATGTTTGAAGCATATTTCTTTTGATTTGCGTAGGAATCCAGATTACCCAAAAAAGCAATATGGTTTTTAATATCAGCCACTATACAGTTCATTATTATATCAGTAATTATCATTATAGTATATATCAGAACTCCTTCAAAAACAGCCAGAAACCTTGGAGTTATGATTGATTGATGATCAGCTGACTTTCTCAGAAAACATTGCTAAAACTGTCCGGTCCTGCAGATTTGCTTTATTAAACATCAAGAAGATCAGGCCCTTTCTTTCAGAACATGCTTCACAACTCCTTGTTCAAGCTCTTGTTCTGTCCAGGCTGGACTATTGCAATGCTCTCTTTGCAGGTCTTCCAGCCACTTCTATCAAACCTTTACAATGAATCCAGCAAGATACATTTTTAATGAGCCGAAAAGAATGCACGTCTCACCTCTGTTTGTCAATTTGCACTGGCTACCAATAGCTGCTCACATAAAATTCAAGGCATTAATGTTTGCCTACAAAACCACCACTGGCTCTGCACCCCTTTACCTAAATTCATTACTTCAGACTTATGTGCCCTCTAGAAGCTTGCGTTCTGCAAGTGAACGTCGCTTTATTGTGCCATCCCAAAGAGAAACAAAATCTCTTTCACGGACTTTTAAAGTAACTGTTCCCTCCTGGTGGAATGACCTGCCCAACTCAATCCGAGCAGCTGAGTCCTTAGCCATCTTCAAGAATCGGCTAAAAACACATCTCTTCCATCTTTATTTGACCCTCTAACTCTAGCACTCTCTATTCTAATTCTATTCTTAAAAAAAACTTGTCCCTTTTAGACTTGCACTCTATTCATTTACAGCTTGTTTTCTTTAAAGGGGTCATATGATGCTTTTTTAAAGATCATTATTTTGTGTATTTGGTGTAACAGAATATGTTGACATGCTTTAATGTTCAAAAAACACATTATTTTTCAAAT